AATGCGAGCATGCACGTGGACACCTCTCGGGAAGGGGCGAGCGAGGGACGACTGTTGCGGAGGTCACAATCCTATCTCTCAAAACGGATGGACGCAAAGTCCTCTTCTCTGTCCGCCAAAAGTTGCGCAAATCTTCAGCGGCTCCTCGGAAGGCTCGCATCCGATGTGGGATGGATGTCCTGCAAGCATCATCCCAAAGGGCTCGGCCAATACGGGCCTTTGACCCTGGATCAGCCCCGCGGAGCCGCCCGCTGCTGTGCGGCTGCTGTGGCTATATATACTCGATCGTAATTCGTGACCGCTTCGATGCATGCGCCGCGTTGCTCTGATGGAGAAACCAGCACGACACGCATCCTTCCCATGCAAAGCGGGCCAACCTCGCGTCGTGTAGGACTTGCTCTCGCATACTTTTACATAAGCGAGCCCCAGCTCCGAGCGATCGGGCTTGATGCACGGCAATTGATTCATGCACTTGCATCGTTGTTGGAGGGCAAGGCAGCACATGCGGGTGTGCTGCGAGATGCATGCAGAGAGCGGACTCACCGCGCTGCATATATCAGTACTGGCGCCAAGTCGCTCTGAGCGCATCTGGGTTTCTTGACAGCAGCACTTGAAGCTTTGCTACCACGCCCGCCCACCGGGACTGTACTCTGTTGCATACTTGTGCTTCTTTGATTGCACCAAGGCAGATCAGAAGATTCAGCTGGTGCGCACCTCTTGCTTTGGTAGTTTGTGAAAGTCGTTCGGGACCACGAACAGCTAGCTGGCTTCCCACACTGCCAAACTTCGGTCTTGAATCGCTCGCTGATAAAGGCTGGAGTCGGGCTCGATCGAGCTGGCTGACGGGACGGAACTTTGCTTCCCTTGCTCGTCTGATGCTCCCGCCACCAATGATTGGATCGCCGTATCTTCTGACTGTGCAGAAAGAAAGCCCGTGTTGACAGGCCGTTACCGTACCACCGTCTGAAGGGCATCAAGGGCAGGTCGCGTGTGAGGCACCGAACATGTTCCTCCTTGCCATTTAGCGTCGCGTGCATCGAAGCTCCGACAGGCGACAGGTCAGCTGTCAGTACTTGCTACACGGCAAGCGGCCACCAGCAACAATCGGGAATGGCGCGAAGCAAGAAATGGCAAAATGCCGCATGCACGTCGAAGAGCAAGATGACATGCATTCACATTTGGTTTCAGCGGCGGTTGGGTGTGATGCAACTCTTCCGCAAGCTTGTGGGTGCATACATATGGCATGGCATGGCATGGCTTGGGCGACAAATGTGCCTTTTAGTGTTTCTGAATGCGAAGACTCCGACGAAGGGAGTCGTTGTACGTCAAGTCGGTTGCGCGCTTTGGACCTGGATAGACCTCCGCACACCCTTGCCTCTCACCTTCTCCCCCGCTTCGTTGATTCGGATTTGTCATACCGGACATTTGGGCACCGTTGTACCGCTCTAACATTTTCGCGACATGCTTCGACCTGCCGTCGCCTGGGGTGAAGCCTTGCATCTGTCCTTCCACCACACCTGCTGCTTGTGACCAGCTCGAGTGTAACCTGCAAGTACGACCTCCAAATTCAAGCCCAGCTTGACAACGCGGGCGGATGGGCAACAGGCCATTTCCAGCTCGTCTGGCAGCATTGCGACTCCGAGTTGCTAGCTTACGCCTGCGTCTCTCACAACTCCCAGAAGCCGCTGTCTGGGGCTCATCGACACGTCAGCCGCGTGCCCCAGCCCTCTTCGCCGAATTTCTCACAAGCCTAGTCATCCCCGCACGCAAGTTCAATTGTACATTTGGACGTCTTTGATCTGCAAAGCGGGTGTACATCAAGCTTTGAGCTCACATACCCCAACGACCCCGCCCTTCCGGCGCTTCGCCAGATTCCTGTTGCTGGAGCGCCGCTTCCTACTCGCCTCGCCGTTGGCTTTCCGCGCTTTGCACACCACTGTACAACGCTCGATCTTCCTTACGAAGTTTCACTCATGGTCGACGACTTGACTCGCATCGAAGCAGATACGCGCTCCACTGTACAAAACGTTCAGTCCACGCTCGTGGCCTGCGCAGGAGCGAATGCAGGATCAGGAAGACCAAGCGCCAACCAGGCTGTCCCAGGCGACTTCATCGAATAACGACTGTTCGCCGGCTGCGGCCGGCTCGATGGTCCTTGACTGCCAGCCAGTCAGACTTTTGTTGACCCTTATTATTCGTCCGAGGTCGTATCCACCTCGCCGTTCACGAGCATCTCAGCATGAACAAGCCAACAAAAATTTCACAGTCAACGCCAGTGCCTCACCTTCAAGCCGAAAGTACGAAGCGACCACTTCTGCCGCCAATCTTACCTCGAGCAGATGAAGCCGAAGCACCCTCTGCAATGCTCGCCCCTAGCCAACGTGCTCCGGGCACCGTCTTCGGGAGTTCCGGCCTTCCGCCCGATGCTTGGAGGCGGTCTGTTGAGGAGGAGAAGCGCCGTCAGCACCGCAAGTCGCTACTCGCACATCAGCCAAAAGTTGAAACGGATTGGCATACACGAAGCATGTCCCAGACACCCATGACACTTCAAGCCCTGCTGACTACAGATCTGTCATCAAAAAGAGAACGTGAATCCACGAATCTGACAAGTAGCCCACGCCCTCTCGACCATGGTCCACCGATGGCACCTCCGCGTCCCTCGACGGCGCGCGTGATGCCACGGCCCAGCGGACTTCCAGCACACGGCCTGTCGACTACATCGACATCGTGGAACAGTCAGTTTCGAGGGACTTCACAGGAGTCACGAACACTAGCACCGCAGAAAGCTTCTGCTCCTTCTGGAGAAAGCTCCGGGTCGAGGATAACCACACATGTAGCACCAGCGATGGGGTCGTCTTCCGCGTTGGTGCCATCATCCGCCTCGCCCTGGTTCTCGTGTCCCAGCGTCGATCATACCCTACGCATACACCAAGGTCTGCCCCCAGCAACACAAGTCAAATTCCAACTTCGGATCATCCAGCAACCGCAAGAAGCGCTGGCGGTTGGTGAAGGTACAGATGTGCACAAACAGGCGCGCAATCTCCCCCTAGACCCACCGCCGGTCTGCGAGTTGGTCACGCGCGACGATACCTTTGCAAACTTTTTGCATCTACCCGAAGTGAGTCTGCGTGCTCACCTCGTCGAAGCCGCCGCACCGCACAAAGAGCTTCTTGCCGGACCTGAAGAGCAAGGTGCTCTCATCAATGGCATTCACGAGGGTGCTTTCGTAGCACCCATCACAGACAGCGTAACGCGGAGCTTCTTCATCTTCACCGAGATCGGGATCAGAGCCTCTGGTCAATTTCGCATACGCTTCGACCTTGTGGATCGAGCGGGTCTCTCCTTTAAACATGTCGCCTCCGTCTACACAGACCCTTTTACGGCGCACAGCGATCGCAATCAGTTCTCTGGCCTGCAGAGGTCTAGCGAGCTGTTGCGCGCAGTAGCTCGCAGGGGTCTCAAAGTCCGCATCGTCGACGTTCTTCCGCTGTAAGTCAAAGCTAGATGGAGTTGATGACGTGGTAGATGCGTCTGACATGAAGCTTTGTTCTAGAAACAGGGCATTCAAACGACGCAAGACAGAAGCAGCCGCAACAGCCTTTCGAAACATTTCCGCCCCCGTTTCGTCTATGCAGCCGCCCGCTTTTTATCCGCGCCAGCGCCAGTCTGACCAGCTCCCTTCGCCATTACTGCACTCTGCGGAGGATCTTCAGACGACAAGACACGCCTCATATGAATCCTCACCTCGGCCGATGGTGGATACGAGGGCCATCCCACAAATATACGAGGACCCTCTGCGGTCGGTAGATCTGGCGTCGAGAGGCCCTGCCGACGTCGCCGGTCCGGAGAGGACCTCGGAAGCCAATTCTAATCGCAACAAAGGTCGCTTTTCCGCTCCAATTGGCGCTGTAGAACTCGAGAGAGTAAAACTGCCTCCACCCAATCCTTATAGGACTAATCAGCACGTGCCTCGCTATGCGCAAACGCCCCTGCGGCGAGCATCAACTGATCTGGACGGAGGCCGGCACAGCGCTACTTTCTCTCATTTCTCCGGTCGAGAGGAAAACTTCTTAGGCTCCACCGGCCCAAGTGGGCATCCTCGGACTAGTGCCAGCGGGTCTCGTCGTCAGACATTTGTAGATTACGAAAGACGACGCCCGTCGGACGTGGCATTTCAGGATCGCGGAGGCAGTAGCAGCAGCTTGGATGCAGACAGACATGGCGGCAGCTTGCTACCGTCAAGGTTGCAACGCCGGATGGATGCCCTTCCGAGTGAATTGCCTCCCCCTGCCGATCCACTCAACATGCGAGATGGGGCCTCCATCGGCCCAGACACATTACCACCACCATCGTCCATCTTCTCTCGAGTAATCGCGCGTCCAATGAGGGAGCTAGGCCGCTACGAGATTGCAGATGACGATGCTCGACGGGCGGACTTGTCAGACGACGAAGTGCATGCTCGACGCTTATTTCACGCTCGGACAGAAGGATCGATGGCACCTCCTGCTGCCGCGGAAATAAAAGGACCAGGAGGATCTTCGACCAGACCGCAAGATTTCGAGCACACCGTCGATGCCAGCCATCGATTTCGAGATCAAAGCCGGAGAGAGGGAGACGCTGACGTACAAGACGGTGAGGTTGATCGCTTTTCAAATCCTTGCGAGCACATCCTGATCGCACAAGATTTCTGTCAACGAATTTAAGGCTATGCCCTTCTCTTCCACCCACACACCCACCGTGCTCGCCCTTCTACGCCCGCAGCAGGCTCTCAGCTCGAGTCAGCTCCATACATGCGGCGTTGATGTGGTGCAAAGCAGGACATGTGACCGTCACAGCACCTCTTTTCAAAATTCCGCTTCATTTGATACCCATTCTCCCCGCTCTGGTCATACCAATCCTGATCAATACATCTTGCATGCTCTAACCGGCGTGATGCACGATCTGTTCTCCAACGCGCCATGTTGGACAAAATTTGCGCAGCTGCGTAGGAGCGTCTTTGATGGGTTGCACGAGTGCGAGTAGCACAGCTTGATAGCCATTTGGGCTTCTACTTGTACATTTGAATCACTCAGCTTTGACCGTAAGACCAGTCCATCATGGACTTTGCGCAAGGAAACGGGATGTTGAAGATGGGATGCGTAGGCAACAACCAATTCCTGCCTCCGTCGCCGACCACATTGACCTTTTCAGCATCGGCGTTCCAAGATAGAGAAGAAGCATAACAAGCTCTTCTCCATTCGTGCAATTCTTTCTTCTCCCAAGGCGTGGTGTGTCGCGCGTCGCTAGACGCGGGGGAATTGGTTGCGTATTTGAAAGAGGCTGCTAGTTCGGATCGACCGTCCATGTCTAGTCGAAGTCGATGTTGAGCCAAGGACATGCCGGAGAGGTTGTAGCAGGTGTGATAGAGATCAGGTCTTTTTCCTGGTTTGTCCCTCAACCCACCCAAGGCTTCTTGCGCCACCACCAAGATGTACTCTTGAAGGGCTGCCCTATCAAACAGTACGCCATCGGCAGGAAGAAATAGCGGGTCTGTTGCCAAGAATGAAAGGAAAAGTCAATGGACCTCCTCCCAAACAAGCATTGATATGCTTCTTCAAAGCGCTGACAGGGCAACTCACCGTCAGCTGCTTGCCACACGTCATCAGCTTCCATTGCTTCGCCCGTGCTCTGAGCAGGAATGCTCCCCGTCTCGGCCTCTTTCCACCATTCTCCAGCTTCCATCTCCACTGCAGCCTGCAGGCAAGTGAACATTCCACCACCACTGAACCATCCGTAGCACCCGTCCACCAGCTTGTTCGTTCTGCCTCTGAAACCACCTCCATCCGCCGCGTTGGCCTGCAACGAAGCAGACCAAGCGACGAGCGCAGACACGTCTATTCGAGGCTCTGGAAGTTCTGATGCTGGCAGCGGTAAGAGGGAGAGGGCGAGATGAGAAGCCAAGGCGCAGAAAGCGTAGCCTGCGTGCGCTTCTCCCAGAGTGGGCCGAGGTGCGTTCGGGTCGATTATCACTTTGCCATTCGAGGAAGTCTTGTATGCGGGATGCGAAGCGGACGCTAGGCCGCCTTCGTACGTTTGGCAGCTGAGCAAAGGGAGCAAGAACGAGAAGATCAAGGCGATGAGCCCAAAGAGATTGGGAATGAAGTTTGACTCGCGAGGGGTCGACTCACCTGCCCAAGAAGCTTGGCAAGCCTTCAAATAGCTCTGGAGTCGCGATCCCCAACAACAGGCTCACTGTGACCACACAGTACGCCGCACGCACGTCAATCTCTCCTCCGTGATGTACGGTAAAAGATCCATCGGGCTGTTTGAGGGACATGAACATGTTGTACATTGCAGAGCTGATGAGCGCAGCGCAACACCAATTCCCAATTGGGAATGTAGCTACGAGGTCAGATGATCGAGGAGGAGCAGATGCCAGAGCGAGTCCCACTCACCGATCGATCGAATCCCATCCGCTCTTTCCGCCGCCGCCGTTGCTGCTGCTGCTAGGGCCCGCCGCATTTGCGATGTCTGGTGCATGCCCAGGTCCGCCGACGATGGCCAGAGCGAGTACAGCAGCGTACGTAGCCATCAAGTGAGGAATCTGACCAGGACCTCCACCGAATCCTCCCATGGGACTTTGACAGGACAATAGCGTGCTCGTGGCTCTTGCCGACATGTCTGCGTCAAAGGGAGAGGACAAGAGGAGACTGGCTTGAGAGGCCCAGTAGATCAACCATGGTCTGGTAGCGTCGAACACGACGTAGCCTGCGGGTAGAGGTTGAAGTCCCTTTTTGAGGAATGCCAAGTGTTTTGATTTGCTCAGGGAGGGCAACGACAGGCCTGCTTGAGCGGACTGCGCAGGTTCTGAAGCTGAAGCTGAAGCTGAAGCTGATGAGGATGAGGATGATCTGAAAGGGGTAAACAGGTCGCTAATCTGGTCTTCC